TTTAAAACTAAAGACTGCAAGCAAAGGCGGGTAAACATTCCAAAACCAACATTAGGAATCACATAGGTAGCTAAAGAAAATGCTGCTGTCATTTTTGCCAAAAGAACATATACATAGAAAAGAGTGATCCAACTTTTGCACCTGTCATATTCCTGGTTTTCTTATCTTGAATCTGTATATAAATATTAGATAGACATTAAAATTCGAAAATGTTATGCTTAACTTTGAATTATGTAGATGCCTCATTGAAACATACAATTTGACCAAGGGTGCCTATACATTTTTTGTGCATCTGTTTATCCTTTTCACTTCAGAATGAAAGGTTAGGCATTATGTTCGGAGGAATGAAGCTGAAATGTTTTAGAGAATGTAAAACATTATAATCCTTTTTACATTTTTAAAAAATATGCAAGTAATCAGACTACTAAAATGCACAGTATTCATGGGCCCAGTGCTTCCTACAATTAGCACATCAAGGACTTCAGTGATACAACAGGTGTCATCCACCTGATCTTGGAGAATTTATAAGACTTCCAAGCCAACTTGGTAGTTTCTAGTCCAAAGCTCCAGTGCGGACGGCTCCATAATCCTTCCCATACAATCTCCTTGTGTGTCTTTGATGAGTATGATACATAACTAAACTATTTAAATCTCGAGCAATTAAATCTTGATTTTGTTAGAACATTCAATGCTTCAGAAGCGTCACCCTATGTAACTCTTAGAACTCAAAAACTCAAAAGCAATCATTCTATTCTTCCCCTATTCAGGAATTGCAAACCAATGCAAATACAAATATCAAAACAGTCCTCTATATATTAAAGTAGCTGTGGGTTTTTTTTAAATACAACTAGGGGAATCTTTTTTATCCTATATTGTTAAATATTTTTTTTACTTTTTTTACTTTTTAGGGAGCGTGTAGGCATACTTCCTGAAGGTAACGTAACATCAAAAGAGCTTCCTCCCCCCATCTGTTCTTATATGGCAAATATTCATCACTCTCAAACTTTTCTCTTACTGCAGATCAATGATTCATTAACATTTAAAAGAAAGTCATATAATGCTATGATTATTGCAAGTTTGCAAACAAGAACAGTCCAACCCCCTGTTCCAAATAGGAAATTCTACCCACAATCTTCTTCCACGCTCATTCTCTGGCACCTGGTATTTGGCAGCATGCTGGCTGACCCTGGAGGTAATCACAATTGACAGCTATTATAACCAATGGCGTCCATCTGCCAACTTCTCCAAAATCTCTGCTGATAGCCTGGAGAATTCTCTTGAGCAGAGGTTTTTTGTTTGTTTTTTAAGGGGGGGGGGGATGGGAGAGATTCTCTTGCATGATCAGAAATCCTTTTTGTAGAAAACTGATTCCAGCCCTCTAAATCTTCCATGAATTAGTTTAATCCTTTGCTAAAGTCATTATACCTCAAAGAAGTATATTCTATATTTTTACTATAAGCAGAGAAAATAAAATGTCCGATCTGTCAAATTCAAGTGCCGTGTCTGATTAAACTGATCTACAACTGTGAAACGTTTCTCTAAGTGTATAATAACCTTCAATCTTTTAACTAACTTGTTTATAAAGGACTGATTAGCACAGACACTGGAATACATTTGCTTCACATAAATAATCATGACCTTACACAGCATTAGGATATATTGAAGATGTGATTTTTCTTGATAAAAACAATCTTGATCATGTTTAAAAAAAACTCTGAACAAACCATTATTGTGTGCATCCATGTCCATCATTACAGAAAGCTGTGGCACTAATTCTCAACAGAGGCTCTAGTATCTCGGAAATCACTTTAAATGAATTGTACTGGCATATTTGAAATAATTCCTGTCACAATCTCAACTCCTGACCTTTTGAATTTTATTTTCCTTTACTTGAAAAAGTGCTGAAATTTCACTGAAAGGATCTGTTCAGGTCATTAACACAGAAGATAATTAGGATCAGGAGAATGACACTCCTGTTTACATATAGCTAATGCCTTTTATAACTACCTAAGAGTTGGGATGGGCATAAAAAGCTGTCTCCTATTCTGGCTGCATCTTGTGAAACCTGAATTTAAGGTTTGAAAGCTAAATTGAAGCTAAATTTTGCATAAAGAAAATTAAGAGGAAAAGCTCCTATCACAGTTCTGCCATTCTGATTTCCAAGTATTAATATTTAGATTAAAGTTTCTATCCCATCTTGGTCACAAACCAAAGAAATTGGGGTGTTGTTTTTTTTTTTAAATAAATGAGACTGGCAAGTCATAGTCATTTCGGACTCAGTTCTGCATTTTTTTAATTTGTTTGTATCTTGTAAGAAAATATATAAGTCAAACCAAAAATTCAAGGTGGTTCCTGAGACAAAGGGACATGGTAAGAACAATCATTTCAGAGAAAATGTCCTATTCAAATGATCCAAACCAGTCTTTACTCTATTGCCATGTTGATTTCTCCAACATTAAGATATAGAGAATCATGCAAATTACTTTGGTATGAAATACTATCTCAGAGCTCTAGACCCTAACTTAGTTATGAAATCAAGTCAAATCCTGGAAGGAAATATCAGACCAAAGAGCAACAAGAGCAGTTCAGATCAAACTGCATCTTCTAAGTCTATACAAAGAAAGCTTCATTTCCACTACCTACAATTTTCTTCTATCCTGCCTAAAAGCAATTAACGTTAAGGATTGACAAAGAATTAAGCTTTAGTTCTTAGCTTGTATATATGCAGTCTCATCAGTATCAAAACAGAAGCGTGTCCATGATGCTCTGTCTACATGCAATATGAAAATAAAAATTGTTAGATAAAAGCAAGGCAAAAAATAGGTCATAATGGTGTTTTCTTCAGTTATAAATGTTAAGCTTTATCTAACTATCTGTTGTATCTAAAACACCTTTTAAGTAGGACATTACATGGAGTGAAGCAGGTCAGGTTATCTTGGGACAATTTCCATACATTATATACCCTGTGATTTTTATCCCAGGCTTCCCTATACCCGCATGACCAGATGCAGGGGTCCTGTAATTTTCAGAATTCATAGGAAAGGAGATAGAACTGCTAAGTGCAACACTGTGAAGGTTAGTTTGCTTTCTCTAGCACTTATCAAAGCATTTAATCAAAAGCACAGTAACTAAACCATTTTTCTCAGACCCATTGCTCATTCAGTACTTGCTCTGCATTAACAAATATTTACCTTAATTTTAATAGGTGAATCTATATAAATCCAGCATAACTGACTCCCTATCTTCCAAAAAGAATGTAACATCATAATGGTAAATCGCTTTCAATATTAAGGTAAACTGAAATGAAAAAGTAATAAAGATATTTAACTTGGCTGTTTTTTCTCATCTAAAAGCAATAATTAATAATGGTAACAAAATGTAACAGACCTTCAAATCACTAGTTGCATCACTCGTAGAATAATAATAGTGTCACTGACACCTGGTGCTTTAATTATCCTCTACAGAAAACTTTTCTTATGCCAGAATGAACATGTTCAAAACTAATCAGGAAGATTAATCAAAGTCACTTGTTGAGATGGGCACTATAGAAATCAAATACACAACCCTTTATTTCAAAATAAAATGCAGTTAATTATTAATGCCATGATATCATATATGTGATGAAACATTCCCAACACAGTTCCTTTAACCAAACTACCTTCTGAAATGGAAAGTGAAAGTTTTCAGGTTTTCCAGGGGCTTTTATCTGGTCCTCTAATAAACACAGAGACAGAAAAAAGTCTCTGAAGTTGAAGCCATGCAGGAAGAGGTGGGAAAAGGCTGTCAATTTACAGCCTTTTCCAAAGTATTTGAAGCTGCAAAAAATTTAGAGGACAAGGTTTTATGCTTCCCACCATATATTTATACACTGCAGAAAAAATTACATTCCTGTATTTATATGAGAAAGTAATTTATAAGTAACTTTTTTTGGGGGGGGGAATCTATCCTACATAAATTTAAATATTAAGAAATTTGGTTTACTACTTTCTCAAAACTAAGATTGTCCCTGAAGTTTCCCAGAAGCTACACATTCACCATGATTTTCTATAAGATTATATGGCAAGACACAAAACCAGAAATAGCCTAGCAATTTTTATACGATGAATTACATCTATCTTTTAAGTTGTAGGTTTGATCCTAACCTCTATGTTATACATGCAGCAGGGCGATTAAGCAGTAATTTTATATTTTGCATTGGCGGATTTCATGTTGCCCTTCTGTCGAACCACTTTTTAGGAACCCCAAGCAGCATCAAAAACTTTTGCCATTTCTGTCGAAATCCAATTCCCACTGGATAACGCGCTATTGTTTTATTAACTAAACTGAGAACAGGTTTAAGTTAAAACAGTAGTATGAATCATCCAGATGACTTTTTCATCTCATATTTACATCAGTTCTACCTCAATACAAATACCATTAAAAACCAAGAGCATATGTACTAAAAAAAAGACTCCGAGATACTTTTTTTTTTTAAAAAAGAAGCTATTCCTAAAAAGCCCACAAAACCAAAAAAAAAAGGCTTAACCTAAAAACATACCCTTTTGTTCAGAAACAAAAACTGACCTTCATTCATCGCACAAACTCACTTCTATTAGTAAACCCAGCACTGATGCAACACCGCATTTAGATGTTTTAATGGGATCTCGCTGGGAAAGGAGGGCAGACTATGAATTACCTCATTCAACTATGATTTTTTTTTGGGAGGGGGGGGGAAAGAGATTTTGACTTTAATCAAAAAACCTTTCAAACCTAACCCATCCAAGTTTGAAACAGGGTACACAAAAGGAGGATCAAAGAAAAACTCAATTTTGGGGGGGGGGGGCTGTATATTTGTAAAAAAAGGGGAGGGGAGGAAGAGAAGGTGGGTCATTTTAAAAGGGGGGTTGCCTGTTGAGGGGCGCCCAATACCCCACATGGGGTTTGTATATAACCCCCCACACACACAAAAAAAGCGGGGTGAGGGGGGGGGACCACAACCCCGCTGCTGGAAGGATACCGACCTGTCCTCGGAGTCCATGCGGCTGAGGGGCTCCCCGTCGGAGGAGATTTCCAGGCTGCCCCTGCGGCCGCCCGACGTGGCACTGCAGGAGCTGCTGCCGCCCCCGCCGCCGCTCCCGGTGCCGTAGCCTTCGTCAGCCCCGGCCGACGCTCCTCCGCTGCTGCCGCCCGTCCCCGCGTCCCCTTCGGACGATGCCGCCGACGCTTGTGGGGCCGCCGACGCTTCACTGGAGTCCCCGCCGCTGCTGCCGCCGCCGCCGCCGCCACCGGAGCCGTCAGGCCCTCCGCCCGCGCCCACGCCGGCCCCGCCCGAGCCGCCCTTGACGTCGGCCTCGCTGCCGCCGGGGCTGAGCGAACGGGCGTCGTCGGTGCAGCAGCCGCTGGAAGAGCCGGCCTCGGCTTCCTCCTCCTCCTCCTCCTCGTCGTCTTCGTCCTCGGCGTCGTCCTCTTCCTCCTCCTCCTCTTCGTCGTCGTCGTCTTCCTCCTCGTCGTCGCCGTCCTCCTCCTCTTCGTCGTCGCCGTCTCCGGCCTGGCTGGCGCTCTCCGGGCTGGGCTCCGACATGCTTTCCGCCCCTTCGCCGTTCAGCGCCGCTGGGGGCGGCTCGGCCTCAACTCCCGCCGCGGAGGTGGAGGAGGAGGAGGAAGAAGAGGAGGAGGAAGAGGCGGAGGCGGCTTCGCTCTCGGCCGCCTCTTCGCCTGAGGGCGACGCGGAGGAGGAGGAAGAGGAGGAAGGCGGCGGCGGCGGCGGCGGGACCGCGGGCGGCTCCGCCATGTCGCTCAGCTCGGCCGCCATGACGTCTGGGAGTCGCCGCGCCGCTCCTGCCCTGGGAGACTCAGCCCAGCGCGCGCACGTGTACGTGCGGGCGGGCGTTCGGGGAGGAGCCTGAGCCGACGAGGGTGGGCGGTGAAGGGTAGAGGGGGGGGCGTGGCTTCCTCTGCGGTTGCCGTTGCAAGCGGCTTGTGTGCGGTATGGAGTCCGCCTGCAGACAAAAGGGTTTAAAGAAAGGGACTCGCGAACCAAAAGGGAAGGCAAGGCGCGTGCGCGTCCGTATCCCGGTCGCTTTAAACCAGGGCTGCTCTCCAATCTCGGAAACTCAATGGATATATATATATAATAGTAATTTTAAAGACTTGTGGACTTCAAACTCCCAGAATTCCCCAGCCCATCTAGGTAGGCCTTGAGGACTACCTGAATATTGACTGAGGAATTCTGGGAAATTGAGGGTCACGCGTCTTAGAATTGCCAAGGTTGAGAAACATTGGTATAAATCAGAGGTCTTCAAACTTGGCAGCTTTAAGACTTGTGGACTTCAACTCCCAGAATTCCCCAGCCCATCTAGGTAGGCCTCGAGGATTACCTGAATATTGACTGAGGAATTCTGGGAAATTGAGGGTCACGCGTCTTAGAACTGCCAAGGTTGAGAAACATTGGTATAAATCAGAGGTCTTCAAACTTGGCAGCTTTAAGACTTGTGGACTTCAACTCCCAGAATTCTCCAGCCAGCATAGCTGGCTGGGGAATTCTGGGAGTTGAAGTCCACAAGTCTTAAAGCTGCCAAGTTTGAAGACCTCTGGTATATAATTATGCCAGAAGATGAAACATATCATAAATATGTCTGACATATTCTTTTGAGTTGTCTTGCTAATAAATGCACACACACATTCAGTAACAGACTTGGAAGGTACCTTGGAAGTCATCTAGAAGCTTCAGCTTCTTGGATGAAAAAACCAGAAAGTCCAGTTAGTTACCTCTTGAAAAAGCACCTTTGGGATGTCTGTCTTTAGGATTTAAGAGCCAGTTTGGTCTAGTGGTTAAGGCGCCATGCTATAGAAAGCAGGAGACCTTGAGTTCAAGTCCTGCCTTAGCCATGAAAGCCAGCTGGGCGACTGGGGCCAATCCCTCTCTCTCTCTCTCTCTCAGGCCAACCCACCTCACAGAGTGGTTGTTGTGAGGAAAACAGGTGTGTTGGATATGCTTTTGCCACCTTGAGTGATTCGTAAAAAATAATAAAGACAAGATACAGTATATAAGTCAATACATATATAAATAAATAAGCAAGCGAACTTTGTTAAGAAAGATCGGGGCTTAGGATAACAACTGCTTTTCTTCCTGGGTCAACCGTGCTCTGCAGTTCCCAGGCATAGTCAGCAAATACCCCAAGTCCTTCTCTGCTGGAGTTAATGTGGGATCGGTGACAGAACTCTTTCGTCAGCTCCTGATGCTCCTGGCTAAAGTTAGCGTCCCAACACACACACACACACACACACACACACAACCACACACAGAGAGACTTTTCTATTGTGCCTTTTCCCAAAGCTTTTTGCAAAGCGCCCCTTCTAGGCCCCCATCTGCATTCCTATGCCATCAAGGCATGCCAGCTTTCATTTCTCAAACTCTGGGGGGACAATCGTAAACCGCAGGAGAACAAAAGCTATAGGGGGAAGGGGCAAACTGCTGGAAAGCAGCAGCTGCCGTAGCTTTTTTTTTTTAAAAAAAACAACAACCCAGAGCTTAGGGCCCCTCTGTGCACTCTCTATTCCGCCCGCAACCCCCCCCCTTCTTTCAACTTCCAGAGTTTTTCCAGCCTTTGCTTCAAACTCCCTAATCCCACTTGGTGCACAAACTGGAAATGAGCTCAGATTGAATTACTTCTGGGTGACAGCAACCAGCAGTAATTTAAAGAAGTCTCTCTGTGGTCGTTGTGGGTGTGTGTGTGTCCCCCAATATACACACTTTTTCTCTCTTTGGTTTTCCATATAGGCCAAAGCTAGAACTTTCTGGAGAGATGATTTAGAAAGACAGAATTTTTCAGCTCTTTCTTTCCTTCCCAATATTTTTATATGGAGGAAATTCATTTGTCTTGGTGAGAAAGGGCAAGGTTTTGGGTTTAGGGCCTTAGTAAGAACAAAGCTTGGAAATAAAACAGCCTGTCTGGGAAGATCATCCCTTGTTTCTCGTCTGCCAGAAGGAACCAAATGTTCCTTTTGCCACGGGGCTCTGTTTTAAACGAAGGATTTGTTCCCAACAGATAAAAATGAAATCTTATTCCAGTTCAGAGCCCAATTCTGTACAGAATTCTGACCTCTCTCTCTCTCTCTCTCTCTCTCAATATTTTTGTCAGTCTTCTAAGCTTTGTGGGGAACAAGGTTTCCAGGAGATGCTGAAATTAAAAGTGTAGCAGACTTCTGAACGTTCTTTCCAGTGGTGGGATTCAAGTAATTTAACAACTGGTTCTCTGCCCTAATGATTTCTTCCAACAACCAAACTGCTCAGAAAGTTAACAATCGGTTCTTCCGAAGTGGTGCGAACTGCCTGAATCCCACCTTTGGTCCTTTCTCATTCTGTGAATCCTTCCCAGGTGAATCAGGCAATGAGCTAGTTTGCACAATTACACCACAGTTGTAGTCCTTAATGTTCTCTTAGTGCACTGATGATATTGTGAACAACCAAGCTCAGAGAGCACCAAGGACCCCACAGTTCAACCCTTAAATATATTCTCTTCTACGCGTAAGCCAGAAGTTTTTAAATCTTGGTTTGTTACCTACGGTAAGTCACTGTACTCTTTAATGTATTGCATCAACTCAACAACATTTCAAGCAGTGACGTAGCTGCATGTTGAACTTGATATTGACTTCGCAACCAATCTAAATCTAGGTTCCAATCAAAATCTTGGGTTTGGAGAAGGAATATTAATGCAAAACAACTGTTTTACTCCTGCTTTGCTCCTTTGGAATCGTTTATTTATTGCCCTCTTCTCTCTTTCACACAGTACTATCTGCCTTGCTAAGGTTCTTTATGCGGCTCTTATAAAGTCCCTTATGAAATCCAGGTGTTTGCAGGGCAGGGGTAAACGGTAACTGTTAATGTCACAGGGCTATGTGGAATAAATGTATTTTCCAGAGAATTTTTGTCTCTCATTTTTCTTATCCAGTACTCAGTTATTGAGTGTTACTGAATTCTATGCAATGTCAAATCAGACATGAGATCATGGCAGGGGTGGGTTCTACTTACCTATACTACCAGTTCGCAACGGGGCCACGCACATGTGCTCGCTTTGCTTGTGCACACACACGCTCTTCTGCACATGCGCAGAAGCGTTCTGATGACGTCGGAGTTGGTGGGCGGAGCCTCCCTCCGGTTTTACTACCGGTTCTATAGAACCGGGGGCAACCCACCACTGGATCACAGTTAAATTTTTAAATAATGCCCTTACAGAGTATTGGAACTTTTTAGGTGTCTTTCTGTGATAATATGCTGTGTTTTCTCTGCCCCACTTTAAGAGATTGTCTGGCATTAAAGAGCAACTGAAGATTAGTAAATAAAATACTGCTTTATTTTAACTTCTGGACTTGGGAAAAGTGGTGCAGGCATCTCATAAGTGAAACAAGGGAAATGAGGCTTTTTTTAAAAATTAAAAATGCAACAATTGAACAGGGCGAAGACATAGGGACATAAAATCATTATCACACTGGATTCATTCAGCAGTGCATCTTTCTGGCTGAGTTAGTCTATATTCAGTGGTGGGTTGCCCCCCGGTTTGGACTGGTTTACAAGAACCGGTAGTAAAACCGGTGGGAGGCCCCGCCTACTGTCCCGGATGTCGGCATCGGCGATCTGCGCATGCGCAGAAGCAAGTCACGTGTGCTAGCGAAGCAAGTGTGCGAGCACGATCCCATTGCGAACCAGTAGTAAAGGTAAGTAGAACCCACCCCGTCTATATCCTAATCTAGGGTAAAGCAGACTTTATTACTTTGTGTGAATTCAGCCATAGGGGAGTACAAGGGAAATCCTTGGCACTATCCTGGACTCCAAATTTTCATGTCAAGCTCGTGGCAAACAATTTCAATCCAAACCAAGATTTTCTCAGAGTTTTCTTTAACAAGTTTTATTGAAAAGAAGAAGAGGTTACAGAAATTCCAGCAGTTTGACCTTGGTTACTGAGGAAGGATTCAAGCCAGAGATGTTTACAGGAGTTGGAAGGGAAGACCGCAGCGATAATGGTAACCCCAACCCTTTTCATGGGTCCCCCTTGTAGATGCCCTCATTTAAACCAGTCTCCCCAATCTTAGGTGGGCTAAATATAATTCTGTTCTCTGTAGCTAAACCTTTAAATTAAAGGGGAAAAAATGCTTGGAGTCAGTCAGACAGAACTAAATTATTTGAGAAAACTTTGTTCTCACTTGGCAAGCAGCTTGCTTAGCAACAGAAACTCTAGTCCCGATTGTGGACTAACTTGCACAGCTAATGTGCTCTGCAGCTGCATTCTCCAGATGCTTTTGGATTATTGAAACAATAAAACCCACAGCTACTACTAGTAAGCAGCTGTGTGGGATAAATAGAAGCTGAAAAGTTGAACAAGCAAGCTCTTTTTTAGTCATGTTGCAGATGTTAATCATCTAATGCTGATCTGCCAAAACTATCAAATGAAAAAGGTAAATTTCTTATAATTCTATCCTCAGTAGATAACTGTCCCATCTTTCCTGCTAAGGAATTGAAGCTATGGAAAGCAGAGAGAGAGAGAGAGATAATCAACAGGTTACATATTTGAGCAGCTGTCATGATGGCTGGGACTTTATCTCTCCTGATACCAAGTTGATCTGGGCATCAGATGGATTGATGAAGTCCATCGTCATGCCAAAGAGACTTTTGAGCTAATCACAATTTCTACTTTATAATCCTGGTTTTTTTTGGGCAGGGGGAAACCCCATGGAGAATGACTGCTATGAACACGTACCACCTTCAGTTCCTGAAGATACAAATAGATCCGATAAATAAATTACTAATGGATTCCCCTTTGGTTTTCTTTTAAAAAG